GGTGTAGAGATCAGATTCTATCAGTCTGGTGAGGACTTTTTTTTTGTTTTTTTAGTGTTTGTTTTCAAAGAGGAGAAGGAATTTCCTATATTTTCATATGTCAGTAGGCTGCAAATAGTATTTCAGTGTTGGAGGAGGCCTGGGTTGCCTGTTGGCACTGAAAATCCACATGGAGCGACTTTTCCCTGGGCAGATACTCTCTATCTATTCACATGTATTTCAGGTGTGCACAGTGATAATTCAGAGATCAAAACAGAGCTGTATTAACTGATGTTAACAAATCAATATTAATTATTACATGATTTGGGTTCCTATATCCACTCTCTTTTGGAAGAGGAGAAGTGAGAACCTGGAACAGTATATTATAAGAAAATAGCATTATCTGCTATTTTCTACTAATTGTTAACTACTAATTTGTAGGTTTTTTACTTTTCTGTACTGTTGCAGAGAAAAGGTGTTCTCGTTAACATTAACTGATGAAGCATGCCACAGCTCGGTAGCTGTAGCCTAGATATGAAGAGATTATCAAAACAATGCCTTACTAGAGCTGCAAAGTCATCATAGTGGTCACTAGCCAGGCTGTGCAGCAACACTGCCTCTATAGTGCGCTGTCTTTTTCTGTGCAGAGAGGTTTTTTTGAGCTTTTCCCCTCCAAGTAGTTTTGTTGCTCAGCGCTCACGCTACACCACTGCAGCACCCTGTGAAGTTCCTTCTCCTTTATTAATTGGGTCAGAATTTTTTGCATATTGCCGTACCTTCAAATGGGGGAAGTTATAATCCCAAAGCAACATGAAGCTGAGAATTAAAGTACATACTTTAATGAGCTGGCCCATTGGCCTCTGGGAAGTGCATCTCCTGGGAGCTAAGCCCAGAGCTTGCAGGAGGAGGCACAGAGGGAGCAAAGCACGTCCCTGGACAGAGAGCAAAGCAGCATACACTGCTCTGAGCTGGTTCTCCCCCCAAAAAGGTTTCATGTTGTCTCCCTCGTACTCCAGCTAGAATAATAAGCAACTCCTGAGGAGGCAAAGCTGAGAACACTGGAGAGATTTCTTCTCCTTGCTGTGTTAAGAAAACCTATCCCTTATAGTCTTGTGTTGGTTTCATAGAAATGAAGTGTGAATTTTATCCCCAGACCCACTTATTTTAGCAGCACATTCTTGGGTAATTATATGAGATACTGTGCAAGAGAGAATAAACACAGTCCCAGGGCTTCCTAATGAATGTGTAAATTGACTCTTTTTAAGGAAAGAACTGATAATTTTGTTGCAGCAAATCAAGTGCTATGATCTAGAAACAGATCCATGACAAATTAAAATTGTCCATGCTTCCCTCTGCTCAGTGGAGCAATGTCCCTTTACATCAGCCATGGTTTGCCCCAGAAACTTGAAATATTTCACCTAATGTCTGACATTTCTTAAAGATTGAAGAACTGGAGGAACAGTGCAATGAAATAGACAAAGAGAAGGAAAGAAATGCACAGCTGAGTAGACGTCTCCAGGAACTGGAAACCGAACTTCAGGACAAAGAGCTGGTAAGTGCCTTGAACACAGAAATGTCATGCTTTAGGGTTTGAGTGGGTCTGTCTGCTTCTTACTTGGGATGTAGCTTTACGAAGGGCTCACCTAAAACCAGAAGGAGCCTGATGTTTCAGAGACTTCCCATGTGCAACTCTAGCAATACTTTGATAGAGTTACTCAGGTTTCAATTTCGTGATGTATTATGTGCTGTGACAGCACTCTTTAATGTGGCAGTGGTTAACAAAAATTAGACTTTTATTTATACAACACTTTAGTCCTAATAGAAGAGCTGGAGTGGTGAAACAAGTTGCCTAAAGCCAGACAGATTTATGCTGAGAACAGATTCAGTTGCCAGTCCCTATGTCTTGAATTCCCGTAGACATCAGGAGCATCATTAAAAAGGCATAATTTACAAAATAACTTGGAGTTTGTGTAGCAAGTCCTTTTTCTTTTTCTGGATGGCTTGTAGTCTTCAGCTTTGCTGTTTTAAGGTCTCCCTCTGATCTCAGGACTAATGCCAAGAGTGAGAAATTCAGATTCATTTAGAGTATCCCAGTTTGTCATTTTTGACATACAGGGTGTTCATTTTTCTACAGAGAATGATGTTGATGGCTTGGAGCCCCTTAACAGTGGGAAAAATAATGGGATCCTTGGTTTTTTCCTTCATTACAGTGACCAAGTGCTCTGTGCTGGCTGAAGAGGAAAAGCTGTCAGCAGGTGCAGTAAAGTTTGCCATGTGCCATTACAGCATCTCTGCTGGTGCTCTTAAAAGCAGTGCTGTTAAGGGGTTTTAAGATGGCACAAGGAAATAGTTTAGGGAGATGGATTTTGATGCACTTTTATAAATATAATATGTTTTCCAGCCCCATATTTCAAAGTAAAATGCCATGCTTTCTTCCCAACTTTTCTGTGGTAATAGCATGGATAATAACCCTGACTCTCTGCTAGCATTTCCCTCAAGATTCACATTTTTACGGTACCAAACGAACCAGAAAATTGATTGACTTGTGAATATGACATGCCTATCTTCCATTTACACTGACAATGTACTAACTTGTTTTCAGACTGCATACTTACATTAGCAGGTTCTTCATTAGGTCTAAATCACCCATAAGTAACCTTTTCATGGTTTACAATTCAGACCAGCAGGAAGCCAGCTCATGGACACTGCCATGTAAGAGGAGCTGCTGCTATCCTCTTCATGTAGGAAGCAAGGAGATAAATGTAAAGACATGGGAATCAAAACAGAGCTATCTAATGAGATGTTTATATTTATATATATATATATGCCATATGCTGTGTCCCATATATATATACATATATATATACATATAGGCACACACTTTATTATACTATATATAGTAAGTATATAGTATGGTAGTGTGTGTATATATATAGTAAGTATATATAGTATAATATATTTCTATTTTGAGATGTGAGCCCCCAGACATTGTTTATGTATATACAGATGTATATGCATGGGAGCTCATATCTCGAAACAAAGGGCAAGTTACCCTTTCTTTCCCCTCTATCAGCAGCTGGGACATTGCCTGGATATAGTTACTCTTATGTTAGTTAAATTCTTCAGTGCAGTTCACAAAAAATCTGTAGTATTATATGATTTGTCTTCTTACATTAATGTAAACTAATGATGAAAAACTGTGAGGAAACAATAAAAACAGTTAGAGTTTTCCTGGAATTACAGAATTTCTCAAAAACCCCAGAATTTATTGGTGTAATGGTGGTTTTGGCAAACTTTGGAAGAAGGCAACATGCTCTCCAGGATACACTGGATTCCTGTGATATGTGGGAGAGACTGGAAGTGCTGAATATTGATGTACTTAAAGCAGGGGAGTTGAGGGGGCTTGAGGAAAAATGTTATGGTCCGGTTCTGTGGAAGAGCTTGACTTTGGACTCTGTTACACTCACATTGTGCTGTAAGTTCACCTGTTAGGGAAGAAATCCCGTTTTGTAGCCAAGAAATTGGCCTTTCAGATAGGGCTGGTTTTGCTGTCCTGTGCCAGCACAGCTCAGAGAGGACAGACCCCTCTTTACTCTTGAGACTGTCACCTACAGGGCAGTTTCTAGAGGAGGACCTTGCACTCTCTTTAGGTCACAGAATTTCTCTTTTTCCTGCAAATGTGCTTTTCAGATGCTCTGACTATCCTTCTGTAAAATGTACAGGCTTTCTTTGAGTCTTTCCCTGCTACCCACATCGGTGCTGTTTGCTTGTGGTGTTAATATATTCAGTTCTCTTAATTTCTATCAGAGACATGGTCTCCTATCAAGCCACAGTGCTCTTTCTGTGAACTCCTTTCAGCTAGTCTTCTCAATTTTGCTAGTGGTGCCAGAACCGAATACCAATTTTGAGGGGAGGATTCTCAGAGCTGTGCAGTGGAGGAAAGCCCATTACAGCTGTGCTCTGAAATGATGGCTCTATATATTCAGCTTATAATGCCATTGGCCTTTTTTTCCTGCTATATATCATCGAAAATTCATATCTAATTTGCTCTTTGCTACCATCTATAAATTGCTTGCAGCATTACAGCCCTTCAGATTTCTCTCTTATTGAATATATCTTTTGCATAGGTATGTGTTTGGGGATAAGATTTCATTAATATAATTAATGTCATTCATGCTAGAGATTGGATTACATTATCTGTTTTAGAAATACAGTCAAAAATACAGTGCAAAAATGTATTCTAGTAGAAAATTAGCATGTGTTTTGGAATGCAGACATGCTGTTTTGATTATTTTACATCCAAATACTGTACAGAATACAATTGCAAAGTCATTTCATATTCTCAAATTTTCATTATGTTTTAAATTGAATCTTGCATTCTTTTTTTTTTTTCTTTTGTGTTTTCAAAGGAACTGGAAGAGCTCCGAAAGCAGGGTGAAATAATACCACAGCTAATGTCAGAATGTGAATCTGTATCTCAACAATTACAGGTACAGTTGAGCAATGAAATTAATTTTAAAATAGTTGATATATTTACTTTCTTTCTTGTAACTCTATGCTTTTCTCTGCTCAGACTTCAGTGTTTGAAGGCAAAAGAGCTCCAGTTTGTAAAAACAAAAAATGCTAATTACATGCAAAATACACCGCACCCTTCCCTGCACAGGAGTAATTAAATAGCTCCATTTCTTTGCCTTGCTGTTTGAGAAATTAATTTGCCTGGGATCGTGTTGCATCTATCTCCTGCAGATTCCAGGCTATCCTGTATCCTGTACTTCTGCTGCTCTGGGCTTGCGGAGCTCCACCGCAGCCACGTGTGTCGAGCAGCACTCCAGGACCTGCGGCTAATTGCTGCAGTAGCACCAGGGAAGACTTTTTGGAAAGAAACAGATGAGCGTAGCTGCACCCCACCAGGGAAAGAAGTCCCCGTGCTGCATCATTCCTTTCCAGCAACGCGTGGCTTACTGTGCCTTGGCTTTGCACGTGGGGCTCCTCTGCTGGGAGGTGCTCACTGGGAGAAGAGCTTGTTGGGCATCCCTTGTTAAAGTCGGGGCTTGTGTAAATGCAATAAGTTAATAGATGAAAGGAGGACAAACATAAGCAGTCTTGTCAATGAAATAAAAGCCAATCAATTAAGTAAGCCATCACTCTGATAATCTAAATAATCTAAAATCATTTAGAAGGCTGCTGAGGAGTGCAGATGCTCAAAGTGGTTAAAATATGATTTTTTTTAATTCATATGGTAAAGGATGTCATCTGTGGCTTTTGGTGAAAATAAGCGTGTGCTTACACACATGAAATGGAGAACAATAGGCAGAAGAGCAAATGAGAGGGGAAAATAACAGAACCAACTGCAGCAAGGGAAGTGTTACATGACTGCCCTTGCCTGAGTGCTTACACAAAGTGGAACGTTAAAAAAATACCAATAAATCCAAAAGTGCTGAATAAAGCAATATTATTCCTCAGGCAGTATTTTCTAAGCTTGTTTTTCGAGGTTAAACCACCATAGATAATTCTGTATGTAATTGGTGGCACAGTGTCTAATTCTGCAACTGTAGCAATGACAGAAATATATGCACAGTGCATGATTTAAATCCAGCTGAATTTTAGGATATCAACCAAATGAGAAAATCTGATGCAAAGCATCTTTTCCAGTTAATCTATGTCCTTTCCTGCGTGGGCTTTCTTTCCTTTTAATCTGACTAGCACATGTCTCTTGCTTTCAGAGGTGCTTGTGTTAATCAGTTTGCAGAAGTTGAAGCAAACTTTTACAGCCCGGCTGTTATTTGTTGCTTTACCCTATTAAATGCTGTTCATTCTTCTCCTCTATGATTCATCTTATTGTCTCTTTTGTCTTTAAGGCTGCTGAGAAAAAGAACAAAGATCTTGAAGAGAAAGTCAGAACGCTAAGGACAGAAGTCGAAGAGAGCAAACATAGGCAGACCAACCTTAAAACTGAATTAAAGAATTTTTTAGATGTACTAGATGGGAAGATAGATGAATTACATGATTTCCGACAAGGACTGTCTAAACTTGGGGTTGACAATTAGATGGCAATAGATTTTTTTTTTTTTTTTTTGTAATCTAGGGTCTGGATGTTTGATGTTTTGTTGATCCCAAACATGTGTTTTACAAAATATAACTAGAATGTTCCACTTGTTTGCATTGTTTTTGTACATAGAGGCTGAAAATTTGCTGGGTTTTGTTTTGTTGGGGTTTTTTGAGGTTTTTTTTATTTTCCAAACCAGTCATGCTGCTCACTGAATTCTGTTGAAATTAGAAACTTTCTATATTGCTGCTCTGGCTTTGTGGGGTTGGGAACAGGTAGAGGGTTCTGTCTCAGGAATCTGGAACTAGATCTACCTTAAAATGAATATGCAGTTAGTTGTTGCAGGGACATTTATATCTTTCTTAAGGGCTGTTGCAACCATAGAAACAGAAAACAAGTCTTTTTCTTGTTTGGACTATCAGTACTCCTAGCAACATCCACTTTTATTCCTTGGTGGAGCAGAGAGAAGATTAGCTGGAGCTCCTGCAGTTTGTAAAATGTGCCTGTGATGAGCTGCAGTCAAGTGAATCACTTTGCACAGATACCAGTATCTTTAGGGACTATGTCAGTCAGGCCTGGTTCACCGAAAAACATCCAGTGGATACCCTCCAATGTAGGTTGCATGTGCTTACCTGGACCCAAACAGCACAAAGCCAACAATGTAGAAATGAATTTCAGCTCTTCAGGTCATGCATCTTACACAGTAGCTGAGGACAGCTTCTCTTGCTTAGCAAGATCATCTCTCTTTGGCCTTCAGTTTTGAACCCGTATAGTTCTGTCGTTATGTGCATCTCCGGAAAATGCCCACCTGAGTCTTGGGACCAGATATTTATTTTTAAAAGCGATATGTTGCTGGTTTGTACACAGGGCACATACACCTCTGTGCAGCTTGCTCACTGTTGATTAACTTCTGCAGTAGTGAAGAAGGAGATGTTGATCTGAAAAGCAATATAAGGGTGCTTGAAGGTGTAGCTCAGAAGCAAGTTTCTGCCTGGGAGACTGACAGGGTCATGACCACATGAAGTCAAAATCCTTTCCTATGATTTCTGCATTCTCACCTCGTGTATCTTTCACAGTAGAGTGAGAATCAGTCACCAAATTAGACTGTTCAAACTGAGCCCCAGCCCAACAGGCAGAAATGCTGTTGTATTCTTGAACTGATTATTCAGCAGCTCTAACTATGTTTTGAGAAATGCAACACTGGGGTCCAGCAAGAAGTTCACTTCATGAGAGACAGGGATGTAAAAAGGGCCTGAAAGGAGAATTCAGCCCAAGTTTTGCTCTTGCCCCTGGGACTGCCTTCAGCTTCTTTTTCTTCTTTCTCTATAACCTGGTTTGAGAGTCTGTTTACATGGGATCTGAATTAATTCAGGAAAGAGCTTTAGTTTATGTAACATTATTATTTGTTTAATTCAGGTAAAAGCTTGGTTAAGCACCGTATTAGTGCATTCCATCAGTGACTGATATAAAATGGCTATGGTTTTTTTTCTTATTTAGGGGCTTTTTTCTTTTCTTGGCATATCTCAATTATAAAAGTGACCTTTAACAGAAAGTTGTTTTACTTCTCTTAAACAATGGATGTGAGGCTGGGACCTTTTATAACCATTATGACCATTTGCCACTCTTAAAAAAAATGTATGCTGTAGGCTGTTGGTATTTAAAAATAAAAATAAAAATCAGGTACATCGCATGTAGGCGTGTGAAAATTAGACTTTACCAGCATGGAAGATTCAACAGTTGCATAACGTGGGGTTAGATCAGACTTCTCAAAATTGAAAATGACGTCAGAAACTGTGTGTGGTTGTGCACAAGTAAATCTCCATTTTTAGTCTTTTTATTTGATAGCAACTCAGATAGACACCATCGTTTAATAGGCAGCTGGTCCTGCTTCTCCTCTCTTCCCATGCTGCTTTAGAGTTCCCAGCCCGCAGCCGGTCCCTGCATCAGCTGGGAACCAGGGAATAACAACAAAGAGCTGCAAGCAATACAGGTAGTCAGGGCCCTCCTCATCAGAGTTTATTGCTTTTGCACCAAGGACCCTGCTCCATCTTCTGTTTCCTTTTTCCTGTTGAGCAATTTTAGGGCTTCCTTCTTGGCTTTAATATAAAATATGATTTTTAACATGATTCTGGGTAGAGGGATGCAAAAGACTCTGTGAACACATTCTTCTGTTGAGGTTAATCAAGATCTTTTTTCCACTTTAGTCAGGTCTGTCTCAGATGCAGCTCATTAGGAATGTATTAAGGCATTCTTAAATTGCAAGAGAAGTGTTTCTATGGGATTGCATCAATGTAACAGATGGAGTTTAATGCTGGTGCATTAAAGCAGTGCATAGCTTTGACATGGGTGGTTATTTCTGGGTGCTTCGTACCCACCAGAGGAATGATGGGGTGTCCTTTGGGGAATCCCTGCCCTGTTTCTTCTAGTCTTACTCCAAATGTATATTTTCCTTATCTGCTCTTGCTCTGATGTTGAGCTGTTAGGGATGCCTGTACACAGCTATACTCTGTGGGAAACTCCATCCTTCAAGCATCCAAGGTCTTGCTACAATTACCTTCTTTCTCTCTTTTTCTTTCTCAAGAGCAGTAAGTTGAGAGCTTGTATGTATAATCACTTAAAAACCTCCCCCAAACTCCATCTCTTTTAAGCTTTCCCTCTCTTTCATTGTATTTTTCCTCTTGAAAAGCCAAAAGCGTGCTAGAAAGAGGCGGTGCACGCTCTCAGGAGTGTTTGGACCCTCTCTGGCCTGGCCCCATCTCTACCCCAGGACTGGAGCCCTGTGCACCTGCTGAGCGGGGACCATCGGCGTCACACACTGCTCATTCCTTACGCTCTGTGGTGGCCCAGCAATAACCCCTGCGTGCCAAGCTGTGAGCCCCACGCTGCTCCTCAGGGACTCATCCCAGCATCAAAATGCCTCCTCTCTCCTGGCAGGAGCACCGGGGCAGCCAGCCTTCCCCAACCAAAATACCCACACTGTCCTACGGATGCGTTTGTTCCTCCTTTTATGTGTGCTGGGGTTTCAGCCTGTCCTCGTGGGCACCCTGAGCTGGCAGCTATTGGCTTAGGGATGGCCCAAAACACTGCCAGGGCCAAGAAATGCTCATCCCTGTCCATGAGAGGGTCTGCAGAACTTGGAGCTATTTGTTATTAAAGTACAGTGCTGGGCAAAGCCTGGTTTTTCCTATGCCATCAGCAATGGAGTAGGTCATCGCTCCATTTCCATCGAGCCTGAGCGGAGGTTGTACAAGGTTGTATCTCACCTTGGGCAATCGTGGGTTCCCTTTCTGGGCACAGGTTTCTCCCTCTCAGTGGTTGATGGCAGGATCTATCCTACCTCAGTTACATGGTCTTTCATTAGTAAAGGTCTTGTGCTTGCCGCTCTGCCATGGATCCCACCACTGCCCATCCTGCCTGTCCGGCCCTGGTGGCACCGACAAGCTGGTGGCTCTGGGAGCAGAAATCTGTGCTGGCCTCTGGTGACACCTGATTAGAGAATATCTTACTGCTTTTTGGGCTTTCCAGTGAGATGCTCATTGGAGCTGGTGTTAGAGCTGCTGAATAATGGTGGGTTTGTGGTTTGGTTTTGGTTTTTTTTTCTGATGGCCAAAATGAGAAATAAACAGGTCCACTTTGTACTAGCACAAAACCTAAAAATATTCAGTGACATAAAAATATATCATGATAATTGTTTTGAAGAGGAAAGAGGGTTTCATTAGATATGTTATTTCACATTCTGGAAAATTACCTTAGCCCCCTCTGTAGAATAAATTATTACAAAATGAAAATCAGAAACATTGTTTCACACCCCAAAATAAAACAGGTTAACCTTTTGCTTTTTCCTATTTGGCTGAATCTTTATTTGCTGATTTTGATGCAACTTCACAAGTAGTTTTGTTTAGTATAAAAATGCATTTTCAGCTAAATTAGTACTTTCCAGTGTTTTTCTATCTATGTCTATTTGGCATTTCCTTTACTAAGTGAGTTCACTGGAAGAAAACTGTCTTTTCTGTAGGAAATTCAGTGCCACCTCTCACTTTCTATATCCTGGTGTTCAAAAGATGCTCTTTTAAAGAATAGTTTTACACTGGATGCATCTGTGCCCAGAAGACAAATGCCTTTTTTCTAGATAAACACTCGATTTTATTTTTATGTGAGCAATGTAGGGTGACCATTTTTTAAAGCTGCTCGATGAATTAAGGAGAGCAGGAAGGGTTTCTGCTGTCCCTGCCACTGCCGTTGCTTTTGAAGAGCATCAACAAAAGCATCTGTGGTGTTAAGGTGGGTGCTCGTCCTGTGTGTGCTCAGTGGCTCACTGGCACAGGGAGACTCTGTCCCGGTCTCAGCAGAGCACAAATTGTCAATAAGCTTCTGCACTCTTCTCTTGCACTGTTTTGTTGTTGCTTTTTTTTCCCCAAACCGTTCATTTTCTTCCTTATTAATTTCTTGCTGCCTTCGGCTGCTTCATGAATGATTGAAGGAGAATTCCCCATTACTGCCACCACCTTGTAGTGGTGGGAGTTTCTCAGCTACAAGACTGTGCTCTTCGTTAGGCTCTTCTGAATAGTTATCTCTGCAAAACCCTTCAAAGCATCAGTGGCTTGTAAGGAATATAGCACTGTCTTCCTGAGCCTATGGATTAGCAAAGATAAAATGGCTTGTCAGGGTGAAACGCCCCGCTTGGCTTAGTGCGTGACTGATGCTGAATCCCAAGGGAAGGGGTGGAAGGGGGACTTGGACAGCAGCAGCTAATTTTGACGGTCATTGATGATCTTTTGAGGTCCCTTCCAATCCCTAACTTTCTGTGATTCTGTGATTTCAGCAGAAGCCTTGGTGAAAGATGTGCTCAGCCCACAAGCTATGGATGTGCTAAAGGTATAGGATGGCCGCACTGAACCGTCAGCTCATCTGCCTTTGTCTGGGCAGTTCTGTGCTTGTCAAGCCTGTAGGTACTAAAAAGTCCACAGCATATCACAGATGTGGCAGTGTGAGGGCTGAAAGGCAAATACCTGCCCACAGAGCTGAGCAGCGCTGGCTTGTGGTCAGACACTTTCAGTCAAAGTTAGGAAAAGCTGTGGCAGTCCTACACGGGCTCAGCAGTACCAGAGACCTTGCAGAAGGGCAGGGTCAGCTTTTGGGGGGCTGCGAGGCAGCGAGGGCTCCCAGGCTGGGCTGGTGGGGGCTGGTTGTGGGCACGACTTAGCAATGGTAAGGCACAGAGCTCCCTAAGCTAATTTTTCTTTCCATAGATCATGTGCAACAAGTACCTGTGTGTCAAGCAAAGCAATACGTAGCCACAAGACATTTAATCCAGACCCACCTCCAGACAGAGAGCCCTGGCTGGCCGACCCAGCCTGGCCAGGGATGCTGTGCCTGGAGTCCTGCACCCCTGGGAGCTCAGCAGTGCTTTAGGCTCGTTTTTAGAATATAAACTTGACAGTTAGATGAAGTTTGCATGTCTTAAA